AAATTTCAATTTCCTTTGATTATCACATTTCAAATGTATTCATTTCTCCTATTTCATTATAAGGCTACGGAAGTTTTAACAAAAGAAATTGAAATTAATTTAACAAGTTTTTTTTTCTAGTTGTTGTCGAATGTCATATCCATTTGAATCATATATATATAATTCGATGTTATATCATTTTGTTAATGACAATAACAATCGGATTCAATTATTATTATATGATTTCAATGAAAATGAGAACCGGAAATCAGAATAAATTTCGTTTCATCTTTTGAAAAAGAATTATGATTTTAAAATAAAAAGTTTTTCATTTTTACAATTTGTCTAAATAATATAATTATAACTAACTGTTGACATATTTTTTTAAATTTTTATTTTTATTTATTGGTTTTTTTGCCGTTACAAGTGAGAAAAAAGTGTGTTTGAGTGTAGTCATTGTTTTATTGGTTATCTAATTTTTGTTTTTTGTTTGCTGTTGTTGTTGTTGTTGTTTATCAGTTTTATCAAAGAATATTTGCTAAATAATCCAGCTGGTGTTTTTTTTCAGCTGGTGGCAAAAAATTTCACCAAAGCGACAATTATTTATTTTTTTAATTTGGTTTTTGTTTTTTGAAAAGCTTCTCATTGAAACAGAAAACAATAAAGTTCATGATTAAATTTCAATTTAATTAAACTAATTGATTTGTATACATACCGAAATAGAAAGAAAAAAAGAAAGAATGAAAGGGTATGATAGGGGATAAAATAATAAGCATATTCTATTGAATTGTATAAATCTCAATATTTTTTCCATTTAGAATCTATTCTAGTTTTTTTTTGTTTTGTTTTTGCATTTTGTAATTTAATAGAATTATTTTGTTCTTTCATTTCATTGGATGTAAAAACCGTTTGTTTTTTTTTTGCATCCTGAAAATGTTTGTCGAATATATTTTCGTTTCGTTTTTGTTTTGTCTGGTTGAAATAAAAAATTTTCACTAAAAAAAAACCTAAACGATCGATTATGTTAAAATAGAAACCGAAAATCACTTTTTACGATAATGTTTTTCAAAATCTTCGATCGTTTCGTTTCGAATTCAATTATCGATAATGTTGGAATTTATTGTTTTTTTTTGTTGAAAAAAAAATCATTTCTATAATTTAATCATACAAAACTATGAACTGATTAAATCATTTGATTATTTGCAAGGAAAAAAATTTCCATTCATTAAATAACGTTTTAAATATAAAATCATTTTATTTTATTTTTTTTTTGGCCAACAGTTTTACATAATTTAATTTCAAATATTTAAAATGCAAAATAAAATAAAATTCTACTATTAGATAAAATGAAAAGCAATCATATGCACACACACACACACAAAAACACACAAGCAAAATTTCATAAATTTGAAAACATTGACAGGGGAAAAAAATCCTAGCAAAAAGTTTTATCGCTTTGGGACTAAAGTGAAGAAAAGAAAAAAAAATCAAATGAAAATATAATAGAAATGAAAGAGTGAAAAAATTCTTTCACACACACACACACACATATTTCTATCAATAAGTTAATTTTTGTGTTCAGAAAATTATTTTTTCTATTCTTTTTTTCCCTTCTTACTACTGCTTCATTTTAATATTTGAAAACTTTTTCATTACAACTTTCAATTCAATCAAAGAACAAAACGAAAAAAAAAATCACAATTTTGACATTCGTTGTGTTGTTGTTTGATGATGTGGAATTCATTAATTCAAACATTTCAATTTTCATTGCAAACAATCAACACCTTGCATTATTAACATATGAATATATTCTCATTATTATTATTATTCATATACATCAAGTTTTTTTTTTGTTCATTCCATTTTTCAATTATGAATTAAATTAAGATTCTAATAATAAAAAGCAGGAACAAACTGAACAAAAAAAAAGAGAAACATCAACCAAAGAATATTGGCAATGAAAATGTTTCAACGATAATAAAATATTATATTGGAAAATAGTCTTAAATCTTTCAAAAAACAAATTTGAACGAATGTTATTAAAAATTTAGTTCATAAAACATTGTGCACTTACACAGTTGAAGATAAATTGGTTTTTGGATTTCGTTTTTATTCTTAGAATCTTAAAATGAAATGAAACCGGTGGTCATTTTTGTTTTTGTTTTGGCTTTGTTTATTTGTTTGTTTCGATATCAGATAATTTACAGCTAAAAAAAAACAAGCGATGAAATGGATTTTCAAAACAAACATTAGAAACAAACAAAAAAAAAAGATAAAAATAAAATACGGTGATTAAGGTCATGACAGAATTGTATCATTTAAGATTTATATTGAAAAAAAAATTGTTAAGTAAAATAAAAAAGGTTACAAATTTTTGTTAAGACTAAACATTATAATTTCAATTGATAATTGATGATTTCTCTATTATGTATTTTGTTTTGTTTTGGTCATTTATTCGATTCACATTAAACAGAATCGTTGTGCAGAAACGAAAAAATGTTTTCTAAAAAGACCAATTCCAAAAAAAAAAGAATACTGAAATAAAAAAGAAAAAAAAATTAAAAGATTTATACGTGAAAGATAAAGATATTTTATAGAAAAAAAAACTTTTCATTTGAAAAAAAACGGTGATTTACAAAACAGCGATCCATTGAGTATGATTATTTTCCATTTTATTTTCTTTTTCTTTGTTTTTAACACATGATGTTTGAAAATGTAACCAACTATTTTCTTTTAGGATTTAATGAGAAAAAAAAAATATTGCAATAAAACTTTCTAGACATTTTTTATATTTGATATTTATATAACATTTAAGAACAAAATGGTAAATAATAATAAAAATATAACCAAACAAAAACAAATAAGATTACCTTGAAAAACCATTACAAAATAAGATGTACAGATAAATGAAAAGAAAAAAAAAAGATTTCGATGATGTACAATACAATACAAAAAAAACAAAGATTATAAGAATGTTCAGAATTTTGGCCATACCAATCACTCAATGATTATAAACATTCAAAAAAAAACTTATAGAGAATTTCTCATACTTTCCAATTGAAAAAAATTGATGATCAAAATGTCAATATCAAGAAAAAAAGTAAAAAAAGATAAAAATATAAATTCATCATACACTATGTCAAATATTTATGAATGTTTTTTTTGTTTGGCAAAATAATTCCAAATCATTGAACATTAAATATTCGAATTTGTCCATCAACATTTGTTCTATTATCGTTGTTTATCATTTTGTTGTTGTTCTTGTTATTGCTGTAGGTAACAGGATTTCTTTTTTCTTACAACTATTTGTCGTTAAATACTTGTGAAATGAATGAATGAATGATTGTTATGTATGCAACGTGACCAGAACACGGAATAATGATTTATATGTAAATTTTTTTTTCTATTCTTTTTTGTTGTTGTTGTTGTTGAGAACAAAAAAAAAATCAAAGAAATATTGTTGAAAATAAATTCCTGTAAAGTATTTTGCCTGAATTGTAGAGATTCGTTTGCGTGTGTGTGAAACTTGTATCCGGTTGCTTCAATGTTAATTCATAAATGCAATGACATTTCCTTATTTTTTTTTGATTTGATCATTCAGAAATACAAATCCAAATAATGAAGAAATAGAATTAATAATTTTATTTGATTCATGTTTTATTTTTTCATTTTTTTCTCTATGAAGAATATACAACAGATTATATATAAAGATTATAGAATTTTACGTTTCACTCCGAAAAAAAACACACACACAAAGTTTCCTTGTGATTATTAATATTTATTATATAAATAAATGATGGCAACTATACTTATGATTAGTTAGTATCTAGTATGAACTAAATGTTATAGATGATGGACAGGAATTTTTTTTTTGATTCTATTTTGTTTCCCGTTCTGTTTTGCTTTGTTTGTTTGTTAGTCGAGTTAACCTGCAACCAATTTTTTATCCATTCCACTATATCTCGAACTACGACTTTGCAAAAAGGTTCATTTATATTTATTCATTCATTCGTTTTATTCGTTCACAGTAACTTTTTTTTTTCTTTGATGGATAATATAAGCCATTTATATGTTCGGTATATAAAATAATTGGTCATTTTTTTTCACTCACTCACACTGCATCGTGTTATTCTGTATAACAATTTGTGTGTGAGAGATATAGAGAAAAAAAATGGAAGAGTGAGAAATTCTTTGTATACAAATAATATTGATGATGAAAAGTACAGGAGAAAAAAAACAAAACAAAAACGTGAAACAATAGATAACACACACATATATGAATTGGGTAAATGTGAAATGAAAAAAAATAGGAATAAAAAAGCAACATGATAGGGTAACAAAAAAAACAATCAAAAGATTAATCATTATTATATCCATCATCATAATGAATGATGATTATCATCATAATAATAATAATAATCATCATCATCAAAGATTCAATGCGATAATACGGAAAGATAGGATTTGTTCTTTCGACATTCAAGATTTTCAACAACAACAACAATAACAATAATAACAAAAAAACTAATTTTTTGAAAGATATTTTTTATTTTTTAAATTAATCATTAATAAGATTATTATTTCACTAACTACTACTAATAATAATAATGATTTTTTTTCACCTTTATTTTCATTATTCTGATTAGGCCTGAAGCCAATATCCATCATTATCATCCGCAAAAGCAGCAAAAAGAAAAAGAAAAAACAAACAAACAACAGCAACAACAAAAGAAAAAATGGAACAAAAATAGTCGATAAATTTTTCCAATGAATTTTTTTGAATTCCAATTGAACGAAAATCAACGTATAAAATTTCATTAACATCATTAACATTGCCCGAACAACACCTGTGTTATAGCATTTTTATTTATCATCATCATCATCATCATCTTCATCATCATTATCCAAAACTCATCACCACCTTGTGTAAATGTAATTCGTTTTTTTTCTTCTTCACGTTTGTTTGCCAATAATAATTATATTATTACAACGATCAATTGATTCCTGATACAAAAAAAAAGAAATTCTATTATCATTTTATGTTATAAAAAAATAATTACCAATTTTTTTTCTTCAAAAAAAAATTAATTAATAAATAAGAGAGAAAAAAAGATCTGTTAATGGCGTCAGTGGCTGCGTGGCTCCCGTTTGCCCGTGCCGCTGCAATCGGCTGGGTACCGATAGCCAGTAATCCATTACCAGCACCACCAGTCACTGGCCGTGCAAGACGTGATGATGAAGAAAAATTCATCATTAACGTATCAGGCCGTCGTTTTGAAACGTGGCGAAAAACCGTTGAAAAATATCCGGACACATTATTAGGCTCAAATGAACGGGAATTTTTCTACGATGAACAACGGCGTGAATATTTTTTTGATCGTGATCCTGATCTGTTTCGTCATATACTCAATTATTATCGAACGGGTAAATTACATTATCCACGACATGAATGTCTGATGAGCTATGATGAGGAGCTAGCATTTTTCGGCATCATTCCGGATGTAATTGGTGATTGTTGTTATGAAGATTATCGAGATCGTAAAAGAGAGAATGCTGAACGTATGATGGATGATCGGATGGAAGAATCCGAAACAATGATGAGAGATGCCACCAAAGGTTCCATACGACAACAAATGTGGCGTGCATTTGAAAATCCTCATACATCAACCGCTGCCCTAGTGTTCTATTATGTGACCGGTTTTTTCATTGCAGTATCTGTTGTTGCGAACGTTGTTGAAACAGTTCCATGTACACATAAAGAAGGCAATCCCGAATCAAAAGTATCGTGTGGTGATACATTTAAAGTAGCGTTCTTCTGTTTGGATACTGCCTGCGTGATGATATTCTCATGTGAATATATGTTACGTTTGTATGCTGCACCGTTACGTTGTAAATTCATGCGAAGCGTCATGAGTGTCATCGATGTTGTCGCCATTATGCCATATTATATTGGTTTATTTATTAAAGATAATGATGATGTTTCCGGAGCATTCGTCACCCTGAGAGTATTCCGTGTTTTTCGTATATTTAAATTTTCACGTCATTCACAAGGATTACGTATCCTTGGCTATACGCTTAAAAGTTGTGCATCTGAGTTAGGCTTTTTAGTGTTTTCATTAGCGATGGCTATCATTATATTCGCCACCGTGATGTTCTATGCCGAAAAGAATGTGACCAAAACAACCTTTACGAGCATTCCAGCAGCATTCTGGTATACCATTGTTACAATGACTACTCTAGGGTAAGTACAATTCATACAATTTTTTTTAATACATACATTTTAAAAATTTAACATTATTCAAAAGAAAAATCCATCCGAATATTCGTTTATTTTATAACTCTTTCACAGATTTACAAAGAAAATAGAAAATAATGCAATCTTATAAAATAAAATTAGCACTTTTAAATGATTAAAATTCATGAATATTTGAATAGAATGTTTAATTCATATAGTCACTACTAACTTAAAAATTCATGTTAATTTATATTCTTATACGTTACTATGATGATTATCATCATCAGCAAAAAAAAAATAAATAAATAAAAATCCCTGAATATGCAAAAACAAACAAATAAATAAAAGAAAAGAAAAAAATCTTATTTTAAATCGAATCAAATATGTATGTCACAAATGTATTGGAAAAAAAATTCCATTACCATATTCATTTTCTTTAGTTCATTACTACAATTTCAAAAAATTTGTTCATAACATTTACAATGTTAATTGAATTTACTTTCTACATTATTTTAAAATGAATCAAATCAAATTTTATTCAGTTTTTTTAGTTGAAAGAGAAAAGTTTTTTTTAAAAAAAGCAACAAAATTCATCAAATTCAATGGGTTTAACAACAACAAAAAAACGGACAACAAAAAGGAGGAGAATCAACGTGACGAAGTCAAAAAAAAAAAAAAAAAATGAAAAAAGAAATTCCATTTTGATTTAGAATTTTAA